TTTTATTTTTAGTATGTATGAAAGTTGTAGATAAGTTATAAATAAGTTGTATATTGTATAATTAGTTGTATAAAATTTATTTTTAATTTATATGATGTTGTAGATATATCAAATTTGTATTAAATTTTTACGAAATTTATTTTTTAATTTGTATGCTATTGTACCATACAAATTTATCACCTCTCTGTTCTACTTACACTTCAACTTCAACTAATCTCGAGATCATTGATATATATATCCTGTTTGTGATATACACCACTGTTACAGGAACTTTGAAAAAGGACATGGAGGATAACACAAATCTGTTCCGAATTTCTGGGATAAACTAGATGAAAAGGAAAAAGATAAGCCAGTTAAGAAAAGCAAGGATTCTGCAATGAAAGAAACAATTTATATTCCTTAAGAAAAATCATGTTGGCAACTTAGGAATGCAAAATAATTTTGCAATTAAAAGGAATAGTTGATATGCCAACTATGGAAACAACGCAACATTCAGATACGTACTTGGCAAGAAAGGATATTGCATTTAAAGTTCTGAATTATCTTCATATGAAGCGTGGCTTCACTGCCCGCGAATTTTGGCTCTCAATTACGGGAATTTTGGGTGGAGAGAGGCAAAGAATAGGGAAATCGAGGGGAGAAGAGAGAAAGAAAAAATGATGTAACTAAATCCCCTAATTTAAGGCACTAATAATGGATTGGGAGCCTTTTAAGGTGGAATGTATATAATTTGTAAGTAATCCTTGTTTAGGGCGGGTAATATACAAAATTAGAACAATTTTGGTAAATAAATTTCAAATATTGTATAGTAACGAAAAAAATCCTTTTTTTGGTGAATGACATAGTTACCCATAAAAACAAAACTATTTACCCTTATCTATCCATTTATTTTTCTACCCATCAAACTAATTATATTTCCTACCCATAGTAGTTTTTGTTGGGAATTTTCTCTTTTTTTTCTCCAATTCTTTTTTATTTCTATGCTTCTTTTCTTTTTTCTTTTTTCTTTCTTTTCTTCTTTTCTTTTTTCTCGTCTTCTTCTTTCTTTTTCTTTTTTTCTCTTTTATTCATTTATTTTTGCCCAAATCGTATTATTGTTATTTTTACCATAACTTATTTCTTACTCAAAGTTGACTCCTTCTTTATTTGTTTTTCTTTTTATTTATTTTATTTATTTCTTGTTCCTTTTCTAATTCCACGTGATTGTCATGCAAACCTTGATCTCCTTCCCTACAAATATCAGTACACACTCTACCATTAGCAGTAACACAACCAGTTATGGAGCAAGAAAACGTAATCTACGGCCACAAAATCTCCATATATACTAGTTAGAATAGATATGATAAGAAAATATTCTAAAATGCAATAAAAATACAAGTAGCAAAAAAGACTTCTAATACCATATGATACCAATACGGTATACAAATATACCAACAGAGTATATGATTGCTCTAGAATATTGCTACAACTATCTGCGACTATACTACTGTTCCAAAACATTAAAGGATGCAATAAAAGTATGAGAAAATTACATGCTCGCATTACAAGCTAAATATTCGCAAAAGCAACCTGCTCATTCCGTATACTAATAGGGTATATAGTTGTACGGGGCCGTTCCAACAATTGCCTATAACTATAAAAATTATTACATAATACACATAATCTATGTCCATCGACACAAAAAAATTCCAACACTACAAATCATGTTCATATAAATAATTCCATAATAGAATTCACTTAAAACGCAGCTAAAACAACCAAAAAAGTGTTCAAACTATCATATGATACCAATATGTCATATAACTATACCAACATGGTATAAAGTTTTACTGTTTAATTTTCGGCAACTATATGACTATACTACTATTACATAACACACATGCATAAAGAGAAAAATAAGAAAATAGTGTACCACATATTAATATAATAAAGTATTTTAAGATATTGTACTATATCACTGTTATTATAAAAAAATTAAATAGTGTACCAATTAAATGTAGCTAATTAACCAAAAGGGGATTCAACTAGTATATGATACCAATATAGTATATATCTATATTAATAGGGTATATAGTTGTACGGGGTCGTTCCAACAACTGCTTATAACTATACAAACTATTACATAATACACAAAATCTATGTCCATAGGTACAAGAAAATTCAACACAGCAAAACATGATCATATAAATCATTTAAGAATAAAATTCACTTAAAATTCAACTAAAACAATCAAAAAATATTTCAACTACCATATGATACCAATATGACATAGAATTATACCAATAGGGTATACAGTTCTACTAATTAATTCTAGTATGACTATACTACTATTACATAATACACATGCATAAAGAGAAAAATCAAAAAATAGTGTACCACATATTAATATAATAATATATTTCAAGATATTGTACTATAATACTACTATATAAAACAAACGCATAAAGAAAAAATCAAAATGATTACATAATACACATGCATAAAGGAAAATTAAAAAAATTCAAGATACTGTACTATTCTACTATTACTAAAGAAAAATTAAATAGTGTACCAAATAAATATAGCTAATACAACCAAAAAAGGTTCCAACTAACATATGATACCGGTATAGTATATAACTATACCAACAGGGTATAAATTATACGCAAAGAGTTTAAAAAATATTTTTTTAATTTAATTATTAAACTGAAATAATATAAGTTGTCATATAATCTAATTAACTCATATAGATGATACCCACATGATATATATCATATATTATCACGGTATCACGGAGGATTGGTTCATTACTTCAAAAAAATTAGTAGTATACTACTGCAATTAATTATATATTCTTAAATTAATTATTGTATACCAATATTATATATATTATAACATTTTGGTATACAATACGAATCTATCTTATTCGCTAGTTCAACTCAATTCTTTCTTTTTGTTTTTCTTCTGCTATCTGCCTTCTCCGCCAAAAAGTTATGCACAAATAGTTCCTAAAACTGAAAAATAACCTTTCCATTAGTTTTGTAGTCAAATATTCTCAAAATTGGCCAAAGCCTACCGTATGCACACAATCTTCTTCCTCTGTTCATATGTCGGCTCAACCGTTGAAAATTTTAAACTTCTGATGATCCTCAAACANTCCCATGGTATTGAAGCAACAACTTTTTGTCAATCTGCTAGTTCCGATGACCTAATAATTTCCGTCAATCGCAAAGTCTACGGAGATGGACGAATTTTTTTATATGCCAGGTACAACAAATTCAAGAGAAAAAAGGAAATGGGTAGTCGGGTAATAGGTTTGTGCTGGATAGGTAGAAATTATAATTAATTCCTAAATGGGCAAAAACGGATAATTAATTTGAACCTAATGGGTATATTGAGTAGTTTCCCCTTTTTTGGATTTTTATACTATATTACACACTATTTTACCCGATTTAATAATATTTTGCTAATTAATAAAATTAACAAAACTTTTTTTTTATAAATTATATACATTCCTCCGAAAAACTCTTTCCACCTATTTGTTACCTTTTAAACTCTATGATCAACGCGCATTAATACTATCCTTGTTTCAAGAAAAGATATGCGCAAATCACATAGTACAAATCAGGTTAAAAAGTAATTGAACTAAACAAGTGAGAGTCCCTTAACAATTTCAATCGCTGTTTAAACAAACGATGAATTTATTTAAACTATTGAATATTGATCAGTTGCTTAAATAACTAATTGAGCTGCTTAAATTGATTGAGTTGTTTAAGCTACTTCAGTAGAGTTAAATGAGGGATGTGAAACGGTAGACATGTATGGTTATTAGTTATTACCAATTAAATGCTCTATTATTAAGGGATACTCAATTATTATTAGTTTTATATATAATTGATAAATTTGTATATCAAAATTTATTTGTCATGTGACGACAGAATTGCGAGTTATTTTCACTTGTTGTTCCTCTAAAATTAATATCACACAGCATTCGACACTGATAGAAAAATAGAGTAAAGTTGAAATCACCTCCACTGACCAAAGTGGACGATATATATCGGAAGCTCATACATCCTTGCCTCCTTTTTCTCTTTATTTATTGAAGTTTGGCTTATTAAGACAAAAAGATACTCTTGAATAGTTTGCATGATTTTTTCTAAAAAAAATCTCACCCTATTGATATATAGTATTTTTATATTTTATATCTAACATTACAACCTTTCAATTGCTATTTTGTTCATACGCCTAACAATAGTTATATTGCATATATTTATTTTATTAGAAGCAAAATAGAACATAGTTTAATGGAAATGAAGCGGGTAGACAAAATGGAGGCTCGTATCCTGCATCTTATGTTATCTTCACTATTTTGCTCACTCTTGTATTACTCAAACGTGTTTTGAAAATTCAAATTTTGAGTCGAGAGTCGATCGAAAATAACCTTTTTACTATATAGGTACAAAATAGAGTTAAGGTATGCGTATACCTTACTCTACCCAAACCCCACTTATAGAATTAACACTTTAAATGTTGTTGTTGTTGTGATAGGATTTGAAAAGCATTCAAATGCAGTGGACTAACATGATAAGTGTTGATCATGAGAAAGTAAAATTTGTTTTAGAGCAACAACTAGGCAGAGTGGAAATTACTATGCATTTCTAAACAGACAATTTAATCATGCCAAATTCCATATCTAGAATAGGATTTAAACAGATAAAATCCCAAAGAAACTTCAGAGATTATTATTATGCTAATTATAACAAATCATGTAACACAGTAATTCAACTGTTACTGGTTGACCTTTGGTTTATCATAAATTCCACTGACATTGATGTGGGATTAAATTCTAATTATTTATTAGCCATATCATATAATGTGACATAAATTTCCTTCAACTCCATCATTTATTTGTCTAATATGGCAATCCCACTTATCCTTGCCTCTTCTGGTGGAGTTCCCATCTCCAAATTAAATAAGACAAATAGTAATTACATGATCTCTGGATTCACTCACTATATAAACAACGTAAAGAACTTCATATACCTCACAGCTAACTTCAAATATTCTCTAGCACTACTTATCTTTAGCAAGGTATGTTTAAATTTCACAGTTAGATAGTATATTATATTATGCCATTTTATATGAGAAGAAAATATCACCGTCATGCAACAATATACATCTACTTAAGCAGTTTTTGTTTCAAAAGACACAAACACTTAAAAGTATTTATCTTGTATTTATTCGCTTTTCTGCTTCTACTTCCACAATACTGTTGTGCTTACGTCTTGAGAAATGGATTTATCTTGTATCTGTTACATACTTTTTCTTAGCCATTATGCTGATGACCCATAAACTTAGGACCTGTTTGTCTATACATTTTTTTTTCTCCTTTTTTTCCGGTTCTTTTTAAAAAGAACGTGTTTGTCCATTCTTACTCACAAAACTGCTTACATTTTTTCAAATGAAATGGATGTCCAAACATAATTATAAATTTCATATACCATAACTCTAAATATTATTCTTTTTTCAAAAATTACAATTTTTATGTCCAAACTCCTACTAACAGTTTTTTTCAAAAGAAGATTTTTATTTGAAAATTTTATTACATGAAGCAATTCATGTAATAAAGGAGATTCTTATTTTACAAATTAATAGTACTTCGAGCTTGTAACGAGCATGAAGAGAATGGACTTATTTCTTTGTTTTTGAGTTGTTATGCAAAATAGAAGAAGCAAATAATGAATTATTTATTCACTTTTCTACTTCTACTTCTACAAAACTCATGTAGTGCTTAAACATAAGAATTGGACGGCGTATCTGTTACGTACTTTTTCATAGCCAGTATGTTGATGATATCCATAAACTTTAGTTACTCCTTTATTTTTCTTTTGAAAATTGTCCGCAATCATGTTCTTATATCTTTTGACTGGGAAAGCATCTATTCACGTTTGAAGTAGTTGCATACACAACGTACGACTAAACTCAATCATATTATTTATCATTTTTGATTCACAGGGGAAGATATAAAAAGGGTACATAATTATGAGGTTGGTTGTGCTTGTTTTAGTCATGTTAGTGATGACTTCAACCTTGGCCACAAGCAGGAACTTAGTCCAGAATTATAACGAAGACGATAATGGTTTCGGGCAGGGGGGAAGTAGCAGCATCAATAATCACCATTATATACCAAGGCAGGACTTCAACAATGGTAATGGAGGTGATGTTCCTAAAGCAGAACTTGATACAGATGCTGGAAAATTCTAAGAGTATACCTTGTATATATGCATGGTATAACTGTAGTAAATAGGAATAAAGGGTAAAATTTTATGCATATATGCTCGTGTTTTGTTAAGTAAAGTTGGTAGTGGTTATGTAACGTTACCGTGTTTGTTTCTTGTAGTGAAGAAGCTTTGTCTATATGACTATATATATAGAGAGAAGTAATTAATAAGTTCATATCTTTTTATGTTATGTACAATGCTTTAATTTGGTATATCACCCACCCTATATGAGTTTACTTTCCATACGTTATTAGTATGTAATTATAAACTCTCTAATATAAGGCAAACGTAATTTATAGGTTTGATTTATACACTAATAATATAAATTCCACAAAAAAAATAGTATAAAGATTACTTTCATTATTAATTCAAAAGTCATATAATAAGCATAAGCTGGAAAATGCAAAATAAGATAATCAACATGCTATAACCGATCTAAACTACACTATCACGAAGTCATTCATCATTTTACTCTCTAAAAATAGGTTGCACACTAAATAAAATAATCATTTAATGTTTTTCTTAATATTTAGGATTTCAAAATCAACTAAATTTTATGTATTAAAGTTTTCTTATTTTAACTTCTTTGTAAGAATTCTTAATATTTAAAATTTTAAAATCAACTAAAAATTTACCTTATAGAAATTCTTTCCTTATTTGAACTATGTAATATAAATATAATATTATTTGGAAAATTTTAATGGGAGAGCATTCTCGCCCATGTTCTTCCATGAAGTATCTATTTTCTTATAGATCTTATGTAGTAGTATCTGCATAAGAGTTATTTCGCTATTCATAAATACTATTTCCTCCGTTTTAATTTATGTGAACTTATTTCCTTTTTAATTCGTGTCAAAAAGAATGACCTCTTTCCTTATTTGAAAATAATTTACTTTTATGCAATGATTTATAGCCATACAAAATATTTGTGCCTCATTTTACACCACAAGTTCAAAATTCTTCTCTCTTTTCTTAAACTCTGTACCCAATCAAATGAGTTCACATAAATTAAATAGGAGGGAGTAGTTTTTTCTATATTCATAAAACTTAATTTATAAGTGTTTCTTTAAATTGAAAGTTTGATTGATAATTTATATTCTTACTTGGATATTTATTGACATAGTACCTCTTCCATCTTTATTTCATAAATCAAATAATTTATAATAAAATATTTATGTAATTTTTTAAAATTACACTCATTGAGATGAGATACACACGCAATACGCGTGAAAAATACCTTAACTCTATATTATCCCCCCTCCACACACACACAAAAGAAAAAGGAAGAAAAAAAAGAAAGAAAGAAAG